AATAGTGAAGTGCTATGTCTGGTCCGTTTTGTTATATGGTGTGGAAGCATGGACACTGAAGGTAGCAACAATAAACAGAATTGAAGCTTTCGAAATGTGGACCCTACGACGAATGCTAAGAGTGTCCTGAGTCCTGAGTCGACCGTGTGAGGAATGAAGACACTCTCAGAAAAGCTGGTCTAGAAGAACGTGAACTCTTCGAAATCATGAAGAAGAGGAAAATAGGCCTATTTGGGGCACATGTTACGTTGAGAACACTATCACTTTCAGCGTCCAGGGTAAATCGAGGGGTCTTCGGGGTAAAATCGAGGGGGGCAAAAGAGGAATAGGCCGAAGGAAGCTATCCTGGCTGAGAAATATTCGTCATTTGACAGGCATACAGGACTTCCAAAAACCCCAAGTCGCTGCAGTTAATAGAACCGTCTGATGAGGAAGAAAAAGATGAACGCCTACGCAGGAATCTGCACAGCACCTTAAGAAGAAGAAGTCGAAGATTTAGAGGACGATTTGTCTCTCCAATATACGATTCACCTCATTCTGTTCGTTTTTCATCATATACTGTTCGCCTGATCTTTATTGATGTTCCTTTCGAATATGAAATCGTCAAGATCATAAACTTACGGACAAGATAGAGAGAGTTTGCTCTGAGAAGCTAATGCACCAGTAAAATTGTTTTGCATTTCGATTCTAGCAAAACTGGCTACCTTATTTGATGATCTACAGTCCTTTTTTTACCACTACATTTTGAATTACAATAATTCGATAGAGGCAAGTGAATGAATAGAGTAATATTCTAATTAATGATGGAAATAAACTAGTGAGTACTTTTTTCTGTGTGTACATCGTTTAGTATATCCCCGATATACGGATGTGTCCGTATCTTCGATATATTTATAGTATGAAGAAAGTGGAACGAAGCAAATATAACTCTTCCTTAATAAATCTCGCAAGATGGCGACGATCCGTAACGACCGAGCCCTGTTCGATGTCGCGGTCGGCGCTGTAATTGACAGATGGAGCCGTGTAGATGTCGCTGCCTGTCGTGACGTAAGTGACAGTTTAAGGGAGTTTTTTTCATACTGTATATAGTTAAGTGTCAATATAATGTCATAGATATTGAAGACTGTCTAGAGAACTGATGAGATCATTTAGTTTAACCAGTTTTGTAGTACCGTATGATCGAAAAAAACCGGCGTCTAGTTGACTTGGAAATGACGATCGATGACATTTCCCATATAAGTTTACATATAAAATGACAGCGATCTTCATTTCATAGCCATCGTTGACGTCGTTTTTATTCGATCATACGGTGCTTTATATATTCGATATCAATTAAATTTTTAGTTACGTAATCGAGGATCGAGGGCGCGATTTTTAAATTCATTGTTGCCAACCATGGACATATTCGGCGTTGGACTGATTCAGGTCGGTAGCTCTGCTGTAAAAACTGTCAAGTTGCCACAATTATTTATTTATTTCCTGACATTGTCATTCGTTTTGACATTTTAGTTTTGTATTATGAGTTTTTGATTTAAACGAATTGTGTTGTGATACTTTAAGCTTAAAAAATTTTACTACCAGATCTGGCAGTTCGGACATTGTGCTTTTTAGAACCTCTTCTAGTGCAAAGTGTACAAGATAGCTTAATAGCCGTAAAAAACTCATCGCAACTTTATTAGAATATTTTGAACGGGAAAGCGGTAGTAATGACCCTTTATATCCCTTAAGTGTTGTTAAGGAGGTGAGTTTTGTTGATGTAAATAATAACTGTTTAGTTGGTTTGGTTTAAAAATAACAGTGGCGGACTAAGGGGAGAGGGGGGGGGACGGAAGGGGCGATCCGGCCCGGGCCCCGTCTTCTAGGGGGCCTCCGAATGTTAATAAGTATTTTTTTTATTCAACTGGCAAACAAGGCCAATATGTGTTATAAAGTAGTTATACAGCAGTAGTTATAAAGCAGTTTGTAGGTGGAATATGCAAACATGACATTCGGACAATTTAATTTTTGACATAGATAGCCACATGTCAGCACAATATTTTTTCTACTCGTAATAAATTCCTTGAAATAATAATTTCTGAATATTTTTTAAAACGTAACTCGCTATGGAAAAAAATATTGTTTTATACACGACGATAAGCTAGGTTGAATATTTTTTGGGGGAAAAGAGAGACAAAATTTGACCCCAAATCTTACGATCTCTCATCATCACGACACGACGACGTAGATCCCTGTATTACCGTCCTGAATCGCTGGACTGTGAAGATGCCCGCCATTCGCCATGTCAATAAATTTGCCGATAAAAAAATCGATTGTACTAACGGAACGGTACACGATCGCGTTTATTTTAAATCCAGGGTTGGGTCAACGGTAATTTATTCAATTTATTACTTATTAGTTCACTACCGTAACAAATTGTTTTCGCTATGCGTAGAAAATACTTAATTTTCTATACATTGTATTTAGAGTTTCCGTACGTCGCACAGTAGGCAATATGTCCAAACCAAGTTGCAAAAAATAACATCCACAGTTAGCATTTATGGCAATAACATTAGATTGGAACATATTAGTTAAGAGGAAACCACATAAAACTAACAAAAAAACATATTCGGAATCTCTTTCGAGGGGCTGTAAAACGAACTTTGCGCAAAACCTACATTTTCAGTTAATTTGTGTCCAATAACTGCCTTTTTTCTACAATTTTTTAAATAGTAGGCGTTGCATTCAAGTGACACAGTATTATAACAATTGAATCGGACGACCTTAGCTTGCTGTCAATAATTATTGTGAAATTGTCATAATGTGTTTTACGTAGATTCCCGGTTGCGGTAAATTTAATGTCAAGGTAAGTAAAAAAGGATCTTTTATTTTGATTTTTTGGATAAAAACTAGGTAAAGGTCAAAGTAGAACATAATCATTTAAGGTTTTTATGATAGTGGCATATATTCTATCTTAGAAAAGTTAAGTCAAAAAAATCGCGAAAAATCGCAACTTTAAACTTATTGGAAGCGTATGTCTCCATGCGTATGTGTATAGTAAGATCCTTTATATGGATACTTCTCATAAATTAATTGTTACAGTAGCTAGAGAAGAACTTGAAATATAAAGTTACGTAATTTTTCTCAAGATTTCCGAAGAGGTATGTCATAAATGTCAAATGACATTTTTTGACAAATTGACAAATTTTGACAGTAACTAATTTTTAAAATTAAATGAAATGGATTTTTCTTTCAGATTTAAAAATGTGCACTTCGTGACCATTGCTTCCAGCTGTTATAAAACAAAATATCAGTAAATAGTAGGTGGTAAAATAAAATTTAGATATTTTTAATAGGTATAAGTTCTGTTATTTTCGAAATCGTCATTGTTTAAGTCTCAGAATATTGTTACTTATTTAAAATATAATAATAAAATATTGTTCACATATTGTCTGGTATTATTAGAGACCCAACTTATTCAAATGACAAACAATCTTGAATAAAAGTTCGATTGGATTAGTATACTTAGGGTTTCCTTTTATACATTGACACCCCCTTTATCTTTTTTATTTGACGTTTCCGAAAACTGTCTCAAATGAAAGTGGTTTTGAATAAATTTGCCAAAAAATCTATTTCGCATATCCAAAGTGCTTCAAAAAATCTGGGCGTGGTTCAACTATCTTATTTCAAATTAGGTATAGGATATGCTACATAAAAGTAGTTAGGATTTTTAGAAGAAAATAAAAAAAAATAAATAAAAAATTGGGTACTAATTTGGAATAAGAAAGTTGGGCCACGCACAGGATTTCTAAGGCACCCGGTATATGCAAAGAAGACTGTTTTGAAAAATGTATTCCAGACCATTAAACTTTTATTCAAGACACTTTTTTCGAAAACGTCGAATAAAAAGATACAGAGGATGTCAATATATATACCTAACCTAACAAACCCTGTATATGCCGGAGGAGTAATAATTGCTCAATATATGTCTGTTTCGTCTTGGCTCTGCCAAAAATCGTAAAATTTAATGAAATGTAAAATATTCTTACCGCATTTTGGTAGCTGTATTAGTCAAAAGATGATTTTTCCATTTTATGAATCCCCCCCACCACCCCCCCAGCCAATCTCAAGTCAGCCAAAACAAACTGGGTTCACGGGCTACTGGCATAGAATGTTTTTACCAAATTTGAATGAAATCGTACAATAAAAGAATTTTTGCAACATACTTCTGGATTTTTGCCCACTGTGCGTCGCGCCCGGATTAATAATAATAAAAATAAACACTTAATGATGCCAAAACGAAAGTGTGTAGTAATTAATGAAATGCTCAAAGTTCTCAGTACTGCTCACAAAGGCGAAAGAGCATACTTAATACACACAAACACCTTTCAAACTACTTTTAATTTCGCCTTTAAAATTTGTCTGCCTGTCCAACGGGTCAGGTAAGAATATCATCGCAGACGACATCCAAGCAATGACAGAAAATACAATTTACCTGTGAATTAAAACGACAGACCAACAACCCTAACTGTTAGGTATTCTCTTGTTAAACAAACTTAACATAAATAAATTCATAATTTATTTTTGTATGGAAACTCTAATTGTAATACTATTTTATTATTGCTTCTGATCATAAGTTAGAATATTAAACTGTAAATATAAATGATAAAAATCAAAAATGGATCTATTATTTTTATTATTTAAGTTCATCATTACTTGATACCGGTTTTATCCTTAATACTTATTATGAAAAATGATTTTCATCTTCTATCTAAACGAATTAAATTAGTTTTTGTTTGTATTTAGTCAAGCTTTCTCCTTAATTATTTTATTTATTTTTTGTTCACTTCCACTTTAATTGGACTTATATTTAATAGAAATCTTATTAAATATAGAACATTTTTTGCTATGCTAGTTTCTTCAATTATTATTATTAATAAATGTGAAAACGGGCAATAATCTCAGAGAACCCTGTATAACATTGAGTGAAATAAACAAATTAATTGTATTTATTGAAGACTTACCTGAAGGGCAATCACAGGTGTAAGTGTGTTTTTCTCCCGATCTGCAAGTACCACCGTTGGCACAAGGACTTGGGTCACACGGTATATACTCGCTTTCACAATTCTGACCTGTATATCCTTCACTACATGTACATCTGAAAGTAAAGAAAATTAAATTAACACTTGTCTATATATTGTTTCTGTAAGTAAAAGAAATACATCTGATAATTTGGTAAATAACGTAAATTCTAGTACCTATGGTAATCGCAAAACATTTTCCGATGCACGTCATCAATCAGTGACATTGACATTAAAGTCTATAAACCTGACTAAATGAAATTTTGGCAAAAATGTTTAAATTTGTTGTATAATTTAATATACCGAGCAGGTCCTCATTTTACTTTATAGAGCAAATGAGTGTAACAGATATTTTATTTAGATTAAAGCTGCAAAAATTAGTTTAAACCGAATTTTATTATCGCTATGTTGGTCACATTACGCCGTGTTCAGCAATGTTGTCTTTTATTATTTGAATATTATCCTAATGTCAGTCATTATTTTGTATAATATCGTGTTGTTGTTGAATCTTTGCATTTCTCGTTTTTTTTTCTAAATTTATAGTCTTTTTTTTTAAGTTGCACTTTTAAGCACAAACGGTTCTTTTAAGAACTAAGTTTTCAAGTTTTTATATTGCATTTCTTGAAATTGTGTGTTGAAAATATGGCAAAACATTTAAAGAGTCAACGCAAAGAGCTTGTAGCTTCCCTGTTTTTTTAAAACTATTTTGAACGAGAAACTATTTTGTCTTTTATTACCCCTGATTGCAGTCAGAAAAGTAAGTTTGATTGATAAGCACATTATACCACTTTCAAAGTTAGTTTTTATTAAATTCTGTGATTATTAGTTTCTGCATTAATAGCACCCTCTTACTTGTTATTACCACTCATGGTGTTGTAAAATGTACATCAATAAATAAATAAATAAATAAATAACCCATAATAACGCTTAGAATAATCTTCATAATGGACTAGTTTTTGCCAATATGTATAAGTAAAATAATCTGTAAAATAAATAGATCAATTAATTACTAAAATATAAGTTATTAAATGAAAAATAAAACGTAAAACTCGTTAAAAAAATGATATAATAAATATATTGTTTGTCAATTTTAATTTAAGATCATCTCATAAATCCATCACAATCTGGCAGCGCTGTCGCCATCGCTTGTCACTCAAAGTTGATCACGTGCATCGGAAATTATTTTGCGATTACATACACGGGTTTATGTACCTATAAACCCGTGTATGTAATCGCAAAATAATTTCCATATTTAATAATCCATATTTTTCAAAAAACCTTGTCACCCTCTATATATTTTCAAAAAAATGAAAAAATAAAGAAACTTTATTGTTTTTCTGAAACAAAAAGTTGAGTATATTTAATGAACCATCTTTGTCTGCTTTTTTGCGTCTTCTACGTCAAAGCTCGCAAAAAGGGCACCGTCTTGTCCATCTAAAAGGACGGGCCGCAGTCAAAGCACACTCGGGCATACATGGTCGCTTAAGGCCCTTTTTTTCACCGGCAATAAAATACCGAAAGTAAGATAGACAGCGGCGGCGCGGTATAAAAACAACAGGACAACAGAGGAGATAAAAATAAAGAAAAAGTCCAAAAGCAGAGAGGTAAATTGGCGATTCTCTCTGTGTGCCACGGAGCCCCATCTCTTTTCCATTCCCGGCCCCTGGAGGCATTATGCAGGCGATCTCAGTGCAATGTTGCCAAGTTGAAGTAATATACCAATCTTCAAGGATAAAAAAATACATCTTCGTTTTTCAACGATATCATTACTATACAGGGTGGTCCGAATTCTATTCAAGAAACTTCAGCAGCATATTCTGCAGATAAAAATAAGTAAAAAAGTTCGTATAAATTATGTTTAAATTTGCTTAGTATCGGAGATACAGGGTGTGGGATTTTCGATTTTTTCCAAATAATTTCTGAATTAACGTCGATATTTGGACAAAAATGTGTGTCTGGAAGTTTTTTGACATGAGAAATTTGATTTTAATGTCAATATGACTCGTACTTGTAAAGGGCGCCACCTACATATTTTTTAACTGGTTTGAAGAGTAATAACTTTTCGTCCGTACCTGTATAAAACTACTGAGCAAAAAATATCCATTTACGACGTTTTTTACGTAAAAAAAGTATCTTGGTAAAAATCGCTACGAGTAATGGTTCTCGAGATATTTAGAATCGAAATTAGCAATACCTGTCATCATTGACATAAATTAAACATGTTGACTAAATAGTTATTAGACTGAAATCATAAATTTGAAATGTTTTTGTACCAAATGTTCAACAAAAACTGTTTTATCATCATTTTTTCGAAGAAAAATTTATGATTAATTTAAAAGAAAAGTCACAAATTTAATATTTGAGTCAAATAACTATATCAACAAGTTTATTTTTTGTCAATAATGACATATATTGACTATTTCCATTCTAAATATCTTGAGAACGATTGTTCGAAGCGATTTTTACCAAGAGACATTTTTTATGTAAAAAGTCACGGAAATGTACATTTTTTCACTCAATAGTTGTATACGGGTACGGACAAAAAGTTATTACTCTTCAAAACAGTTAAAACACATGTAGGTTGCGCCCCCCACAAATAGGAGCCAGATTGACCTCAAAATCAAATTTCTCATGTCAAAAAATTCCCAAACACCAATTTTCATCCAAATATTGACGTTACATTAAAAATTATTTGAAACAAATCGGAATAAAAATGAAACTTAAAACATGGAGTTACCGGTTTACCGATATTTACCGGTAATGCAACCCCTATATCTGGTGAACGATAAGCTGTAAAAATAAATAAATAGTTTTTATTTTTACTGAAGTTTCAATTTTCGACCGACAGCTAGTTTTAAGATCGATAACCCTCTATGTATCGATCTAGTTTAACCTTCTAAACTTGGCAACGTAGGTCTCTGCAGTACGGCCAGTACCTATATCAGAGCAAAGTGGGCGTGTGTGATGCAACGCAAACATATATCCTTTGCCTCTACCGCAATTAGTTCAGTGCTGCTTTCTAATACATTTCCTTTGTCTCGCGGTACCATAACAAAGCGTACCCGGTCGTACCATAAAACTCCCTCACAGTCTAATCGCAGTCTCTAACGACCATTCAGCGTCTTCGAGGAGCTGAGACTGTGACCGGTCCGCAGGACTCTATTGGGGCATTGTTCCCCTTACTTGGCTGGAAAAAATCCCCGTTGATTTTTGTTCGAAGAACGGCGATTATTCTTCGTATGTTGGCAGCACTGCTGGTGGTAGCCGGGTGCCATTTTCCTTTAAAGGATAACACGGTCTGTTATTGTCTTTAGGTAGATCGTGATTTAAGAGATCGTACTTTTTTTTCTCGTATCTACACTCAGATACCAAAAAAATGCAACGGAAAAAATTTTGGTCTAGTTTAAAATGTTATATTTTTTTATTTTTAGCCCTTCTTCTTTGATTTTTTAGCAAATTTTATATAAATAATTATATCAACTTTAATTCGTAAACTCAGTTTATTATAAACTTTAATACTTGATTTATTATACAGGGTTAATCGAACAATTGTTTTTTTACCCTATCTTTAAAACACCCTGTGTAATAATTTCGTGGACAAATTTTCCTAAAACATTATTTTTCGGTCAGAACCATGTCCCCTGAATATTTTGTTTTTTGACTCATATCAACACATGCCTTGATTAATTTTTAAGAGCAAAATGAACTTGCCACAAACATTTTGCAATTTTTTCAATTATCATTACTTTTTGATGTTATTCTTCATAATGATGAGAATGATGAGGTGGCTTTGGTGATCATTGTTGTGTACGATTGAATATGGTTCTTAGTATCGAAGATTATGCAAAAGTCATTGATCGTGTTGAAGATGACCGAAATTGTGAATATTTGGTTGGTCCTTGAAGAAGAATGGAAAAACATAACACAATTAATTTGCAGCCTAATTAACAGTATGAACCGACGTCACAGATAGTTATAGCAGCCGGGGGAGGCAATACAAAGTATTAGTGCCAAGTACACGAGTCGTCAGAGATATAAAATTGGATTACCAATAAAGAACGTGTTAATATTCAAGAAATACCAACAGACGATTAGAACACAAACCTGCGGATATTTGATACGTTTTTATTATTTTTATAAAAGAAGCGAATATTATTTTTTTTGTTCCACCGAAAATGACTACAACTTTTGATTTTTAAAGGCAGTGATAAATTTTGACTTATCTCCGTTTTATACATAATTTTTAAAATACTCTAATGTTAAAAATGGGTAGCAACCCAAAACTCTAGGTATACTCTGTTTTTTTTCTCAGGTAAGATTTCGACAGACGATGACAGAAGAAAAGCAGATGACGTCCCATACCAATCTATTTATTTTACTAAAAAAAGTTTCTAATAATTTTTAAGTTATCTATGGATGGGTTTAAATATAAATCCGTCATGCGTCGTGTCTTCTTGTTTTTAACCAGTTTTATTGGTTTATTTAAAAAATGACAGATCGTATTTCAATTTTATTGGTTTGACGGAACGATGAACGACAATCGGACGCTGATGCGTATGAACTCGCCTTTAGATTTTTGTCATTTTTGACGCTTGTCAAAGTCTTGCCAAATTATAGGTTATAATTTTGTGTCAACTTTTGTTAAATACCCTGCGTTTTGGAAGATGATGCATTTTGATTCGTATTATTACGTGTGTTTTGTGTCTTTTGAAGTCAAGTGGAGGAAAAATCGAGTGAAAATTAACTGTAGACCCAGAGCACAGTTTATGGTTAATACACGCTGCCCAGGCAGAAAGTCTTATACACCAATGAAGTTGCCACCGATAAAGTTTGTATAACATTTCGTCGTAGATAAGTGCATCTCGTATATAAGGATTCAAACTAAACACATACTAAAAACTGGAGTAGCTGTAAAATATCGACATCACACGATAGGTAAATAATGGATTTTAGTACTGCAGAAAAATAATGTCAAAAGGTACTGGTTTAAAAAAATTAAGATTAAAGTTAATTAATCAACCTTTAAGGTATAAAATTTGGTAGGTGTTATTATTAATAAAATAGTTTGTTGTATTTA